AAGGCTGAGTCAACCCTGAGCCGGTGAGATTTGAACCGCTGAACTGCTGATCTAGCAGTAGCCTGCAGTGCTGCATTTAACCACTGCGCCACCCAAATCCCACTCCTGGCTGGCCCCGTCTACCCCGCCCCTCTCAGGAGTCCCCACACCGCCCATTTTGGATGCAGGTAAGTGCAGGGCGTGCACCGGAACTTGAGGAGGGCAAAAACCGGGCCTACCGGAAGTCCAGGGCCTGGGGAGACCGTTTTCTCCCAGAAGCTCGAGGAAAACCTTGAGCTCAGAGAAGGCAAAAACGCTCCACACACTCCCGCTGTGGTGCAAGAGGCTGACTAGATCATGGTCACACCCACCCAGCAACCGGGCAGAGAACCCCTTGCTAAAATTTTTGAAACCCACCCCTGCATCCATCCCATTGGATGGTTTCACACACATTGAATAAAATATGAAATAAAGGAGAATTTTATGGCCCTCCAGCAATTATCTCCATTTGTAGTGAGTCATTGCATTATCTGGAAACAATCATCTTAAATAAAATTATTAAAAATTGAATGCTTCATAAATCTTGCTCTGCCACCATTGCGGATGGCGTTATACTGTATATACTTAAGTTACATGATGACTTAGCACAACCCAATGAAGATCGCAATAAAACCAGAGTGTATCATGGAGAAAATACGAAGAGGATCAAAAGCATCAGTTGTCACTGTAAAGATAAACTCAAGTGAGCAAAGCCAGTTTCCATTACAAGATAGATCTAGGGCTGCTTTTATTTCAGACAGCCTGAAAGAACCAACCATCATCTTCTGGCCTTACCAATTCTGGGCCTACAGTACCTACTTTTGAGTAGTTACTTTTATTAGAGGTCTGAAGTCTCAGAAGTGGCTGTTCAGACTTGATTTCCCGCTCTGCGGCAGAAACATCATTAAAAAAAAAATCAACCGGAGTTGCTAAATAATTGTAGAATTTATAATTATAGAAACATAAAAAGCCCTTAGAACGATCTTCCCCAACCTGGCGTCCTCTGGGTCTAGGCTTTGCTGGCTGAGGAACTCTGGGAGTTGAAGTCCACAAGTCTTAAAGTTGCCAAGGTTGGAGTCCCCTGCTCTAGATGTTTTCGATCAACTCCCATAACCAGTTTCGGCTGAAGGATGATGGGAGTTGAAGTCCAAGCATCTGGTTATTTGGAAGAGTGAGCTACACGTTTACCTCACTGAAAGGCAAACAGTACTTCAGCCACGCCTCTTCCCCCCCCCCTCTGTCTTTCCCTCTTGCTTCGGCCTCGGAGTCAATTATTACAATCCCCTGTTTTGCCTCGCGCGCCCAGGCTCCGCCCACTTCGGCGCCTCCATCTCGCTCGCTCTCTAAAATGAATAAACCTCCGCGCCTGCGCGTTGCGGGGCCCCTTGGTGCAGCCCCAAGCTGAGTCCGAAGTAGGAGGGGAGGCGCTCGTCTCGCCGGGGCCTTTTTTTTTTTTGCCTGTTCCGCTGGGCTGCCCGTCGGCTGCGGCAGGAGGTGGAGCAGTGTCCCACCCCACCTCCCGCCCTCCCCGGGCCGCTTGCCTTGGTGGAAGGGAGATAATAGGACGCCTTCCCATCTCCCTGGAACCCGAGAGAAAGCAGTTGCTATCTGCTCCTCCTCCTCCTGCTGCTCAGTGGGAAGGTTTGTTATGAATTGAAAGCAGCGGCTCGCTGTTCTTGGGTTTAAGCCCCCTAGCAGGCTGCTGAGTCCCTTTGTCGGCTGGGTGTGTGGATTCACACGTGTGCGCGCTTGCTTGGGCGTATCTGACCGTGGGGAAAAGGTCCTCCTGAAACGGGTTGGACTAGATGTCATCCAAGGTCCCTTCCAACTCTGTTACTGTTTACTGTTTAAATCGGCCTGTCTTTTGAGGTCAGCTGATAGGAACAGGGGCTCTGCCTCTTGAGAAGACACGGCTGGGTGTTGCAGAGGTGCAAGTCATCTGGTAGGTTGGTGATGCAGGTGGGAGTGGGCCAGGGCAGGTCAGGCTGCTTGAACTCAAGTTTTGTCTTCCCTGTAGAAGCGGCAGTGGCCCCCTTCTTTCTCCATGCAGAAGGTCTAGGGCAATGGTGGCCAACGTGGGGGCGATTTGATTTTTAAATGGGGGGTATTTAAACCTTGTTTAAACCAAGTTAATGGCCTTGTAGGCTTCCTCCGCGCATGTAGAGTTCACTTTTTGAGTAAAGTAAGAATTATATGTCACGGGCATCAGGATTTTTGAGATGCTTAAGTGGGGCATGGCCAAAAAAAGGTTGGGAACCACTGGTCTAGGGGTTAAGTGGGGCCCGAATGAATTTGGAATGGATTTTGGAGGCAATAAGCAGTTCCTTAGAACTTGGTGCCTTTGATGGCTGTAATCTCCAAGATGACATAGAATTATGCAAGTTGAAGGCCAACCTATCTGAAAAATAACTTGATGATGCTTTTGTGGAAGTAACTGAGGGTTTGCTTCCTGCTGCATAAACGGAAAACCAAGACCATGGTATATACATGATCATTGGGGTTCTAGCTTTTTTAAAAATAAGGTATTCTGACATTGACCTGAGTTCTTAACCTAAACAAATATGTTCTGCTGTAAGTATAGTCTTGCTTCTGATTGTCCACTCCCCAATCCTCAAAGGCTGAAAATATTCTATTCCATATTACTCATTAGATTTGTAAACAGTTTGGAGTATGGGAGTTTTTTGTTTTAGGGTTTGTTATGCAATCATGATCTTTAAAAAAATAATTCTGGCTTTCTATCCTTATTAGAAGAAGAAAATTCAAGCCATATGTATATTCTAGAAGCAATGATGCACATCTCTGTTTTTGTACTAAGAAAACAGAGTTAACCATATGTACATTTTAGAATTAAGATCTAAAAGTGGGAATGGCAGCACTCTAGTATCTTGATGACTTTTTTCAGTCAGGATGCTCTTGGTTTGGTTTTAAATTGAGAATGTCTATATGGTGTTCTTGCAAATATATATTGCTACATTTGAATCTCATTGTCTCCAGGTAATTTTTAACTTTCTGGATTCTGCAATCTGGCTTTGTTGACTGTTGATAAACCAGCATGCTTGGTAGAAGACCCAGGAAAAGCCCCCAGGCCAAGGGTCAGGCAGGAGCTGCCGCAAAACAGGTATATTTCTTCTATTAGTCCTTTTTGCTGTGTATCATACACAAATTTCCTTTACATAGAGTGTGGTTTTGTAACTATAATTCGGAGATGCCTTGAAGGGCCTCATGTTTTAAGAAGTAAGAGATTTCTTCAATAACCCACCATTTAAATTTTTAGAAATTTATGTACTGGTAAGAGACACAAATTGACTGAGATTCATGCATCCAGCCTTTTGCAATTTCAGGTTTTTGTTAGATTTACATCAAATCTGACCCAAAGCCCAGCAAGTGGTTCATAACATTTTCTCTTGTTAAAGTTGTGGAGTGGTCTGAGTTATTTTCTTATAAGGTATCCTAGATTCTTAACAAAAAAAAGTTAAACCACAAATATTGGGTATGGTTGTTAATTCAGAGGACAGTCTGTTCTTTAAAATATGAAAAAAAATACTGAAATTTTGATGATTACTGATTTGAATCTATTCTTTGTTTTCATAAATTTTGTGATTGACAATAGTTGCTACTAGTGCACTAAGGTGGTGGTTGCCTTTGTTATCTAAATAATGCCAGCTATTTTATAGAAATTTGACTATAACTTCCTGACTTAGCAAAGTAGTGGAATTAAATTGATCATTTCTTTATAAAAACAAAGTCCTTCAGTAATCAGCAGGGAAAGGATTTTTAAAAAAATGCCTGAAACAATGTATCTGTGAAATCAAATCCATCAGGCTTTTTTTTTTACATTTGTCATACAGTACAGTATACAATGTAGCTAGTCCTCCACTTATCACAGTTCATTTAGTGACTGTTCAAAGTTACAACGGCACTGAAAAAAAGTGACTTATCTTTTTTCACACTTACAATTATTGCAGCCCCCTTGTGGTCATGTGATCAAAATTCAGATACTTGGCAACTGATTCATATTTATGATTGTTGTAGTGTCCCAAAGTCACGTGATCTCCTTTTGTGATCTTCTGCCAAGCGAAGTCAATAGGGAAGCCAGATCTGATTTGATTTGATTTGATCCACTTAACAATCGACTTACTAACTTATCAGCTGCAGTGATTCACTTTATAACTGTGGCAAGAAGAGTCGTATGATGGGGGGAAAAGTCACTTAACGAATGTCTCACTTAACAACAAATTTTGGGTTCAATTGTGGTCGTAAATTGAGGACTACCTGTACAGTTGTTCATAATATGCAGCTAAAAGGGGGAAAATACCTCTCTTTGACTCATTAAAGCAGCCACATTTTTTGCAAGAAACTTGTGGCTGCTTAGAAAACAATTCCACTATACATGTAGACAAAGTTCAGAGTAGCTTTCTAAACTGCCTTGTAAGAAATTGAATAGCCTGTTTTGAGTGGTACAAGCAGAACAAATAGCCATATTAATGGGTATTATTATAGGGAGGAGTAAAAATGCTCAAGTGTTATTGGATCTGATCTTATGAAAGAGGAAAAGAAGAGAATAGTTAAATTTCATCCTTTTAATAGGCATGATTTGCAAAAATACCGGGCACCCAAGTTGAGGGTAAAGTAGCACAGGGGAGATAGATCTTCTATTCTTCTAGAGGGTATTTAAATAAGGTAATAGGGAGACATAGTCTTATTGCAAACTTAAAACAAGGAAATAAACAATTTGTAAATCTTAAGAGAAAAATTAGGCACTCATTTAAGGACATTGAATTAATAAACATAAGTGTGTTTAACTCAGCATTTGGATTTCGATCAGCATTAGTAGTTCAGATTGAAGCTATAGTATTGGCTATTGCTAAGAATTTATTTCAGCTGTTTTTTAAATAAGGCCTCTATCATTTAGGAGTAGAGTTTCCTAAACTTGATATTTTTATTTTTACTTAAAATACAAATGTTAAAAATGAATGGAAGCTAGACTGTTTATATTATAAAGAATTTCATAGAATATGAATAACCAATTCCTACTAACTCTCTGGAAATTGTAGTCCCAGCATTTAGCTTATACCTGTCCTTTGCCATAATGAATGAAGTCTGCATCCAGCTGGAATATGTAGTTCAATTGCCTTATTTTTGAGTTCCAAAGGCAGATCTTTTTGTGTGTTTCTAGAACACATAGGAGTGTTGGGTTGATTTGTAAAATGTTAACCATATAATGTATTTCTTGAACTTCCTTTTCCTTTGTGGTCCTGAGATGGATAAAGATAATTATCTTACTCTCTTTGCTTTGTATAATATAGCAGACTCAAGTAAAAAAACATTTAATGGTACAATATGGACTGGGTGCCAGATCATAGCATGGGTGATAATCCAGGGTAAACCTCACGTTCAAATTTCTTCCATTCTCTCTTTTTTGAGGGGTCCTTGGTGCTCTCTGTGTTGGTAATTATATTCATTATATAAGTGGGGAATGGAAGTGATGGAATTTTAAAATAAATATTAATATTTATTTAAGCTCTTTGCAAAAAGAAGGAAATTACACAGATTTTCCACTTGAACAGACATCTCTCACTCCAGAATTTGAGAACAAAAAGACCTTAGAAATAGTTGTTAAGTTTGAGACTCACAGACATAAGAGTACAAACTCTTACTGAAAGTCAAATTGTTTTTGCTTCTTGATTCTGAATAGTTGAAACTAGAAATAATTGAAGCAAAACATCTCACATATGTGTGTGTGTGAACACACACACGCACACACATACTGATGGGCAAGAATGAATTGGTAGTGGAGAGAAACCAAATTCCAGAACCTGTTCCATTTTAAGGAACATTAGATTAGAGAATCTAAGAATTTTAATCCCAAATTGCCACTTGCCGTAAATGGATAATTTGGGGTCAAATATCTCTTAGTTTAAGGTGTACTCACAGAATATAATGGGAGAAGAAAGTATATGTCACTTTTGGTTCCTAGAAGGAAGGTTGTTATTCAAATATTATATCTTTCAAATCTCAATTTAGAGTTCATGTTACTATAAAATGTCATTGAACTCTGTAAGTGGATAGTATTTGTTATAGAGTCCCTATTCGTGAAATGTATACCGGTATTGGATGAAACAGGTTAGAAGCAGTGCTACCAATTTAATGTATTCTGCATAGACATTTGTGCAATATGGATACTAACCCTGTTATTATTTTCCGATCAACAGCTGGGTCTTTTTATAGAGTTCAATCCTGAAGAGATGATACTAGATCTAGAAGACGATGGGGATCTAGAAGCTGAGCTAGCGGCTATTACTGGAGAGAATTTGCCTACTGGAAAAACCAAACCAAAAGGAAAATGTAAGGACAAACAGGAAAAGCTTAAGAATATTTGCTTGTGTACCACATTTTAACTGCTGTTTTGTCGATCTTTCCCTTCTTTTTTTATGGGAATTACCTTTTGTAACTATAAATGTTGAGTTCCTTTCCTTAAGATTTTTTTATTTTAATTTTCTGCAGCCCCTTTGCCCATGGGTCATATAGAAAAGATGGCTGCTGAGTGCATGAAGGACATGGATGATGATGATGATGAAGGTCTGGAGGAAGATACCGAACTTTTGGTATATATGGGAGTCTGCTGGAAGACTGCTTATCCCCCCTCTAGTTCTAAAGAGGAACCATCATTTCATACCATTTTTCTCAGGCAAAATTAAACTTCAAATCCTATAATCTGCAGCCAGAAGAGAAAGCAGTCATGTTGGTTGGAAAAATTATGAGAATTGAAGCGAAATTCATTGAGAATGTACCAAGATGCTTATAAGAAATATTGGATATGATAGCAATAGCAGTTAGACTTATATACCACTTCATAGGGCTTTCAGCCCTCTCTAAGCGGTTTACAGAGTCAGCATATTGCCCCCAACAATCCGNGGGGGGGGGGCAGTAAAGGCTGTTTTCGCTTTCCCCAGGTTCCTAAAAAACCCCTGAAGCCTGGGGAAGGCGAAAAAAGCACACCAAAAATGGGGGGGGGGAGCGCTGGTCAGGCACGCATGCGCACTGGGGTCATGCGCATAGCATGGATGTGGCACACCCGCGCACGACCCCCCTGCGCTCCCCCCGCTTTTTGCATGCGAGCCACAAAAGGTTCGCCATCACTGGTCTATACAGTTCTGAAAAATGGTGTATCTCAGTAGTTCTCAACCTTTTCTTTACCACAGACCCCCTTTAAATAACTTTTGTGGCCACAGACCATGGCCACAAACTCCCAGGACTTAACTCAGGATTTAAATCATAACATTTCTTCAAGCCTTCATGGACCCCCTTGTGATCACATCAAAGCCCCATCCCCAGAGGTCTGTGAACCACAAGTTGAGAACCACAGATGTATCTTGTTAGTTATTTTCCCATAGAAAGAGGAGGAAAGTAATTAGAAATTACTCCCTTAACCTGCTTGTTTTTAACCTTCAGTTTTCTTTTTTCCTCTTCTAGATATTTCATCAGCATATTGGTCTATGTAGACTTGAAGGCCTGCCAACACCTACTGTATCAGATATAATGGCAATTTCCTCCCGACTTGGTGCTTGTAAACTTTTGCTGGCAGAATCTCATGCCAAGTACCTCAGCATGCGAATTCGACTCAATGTTAGCCAGAATGATGTCATGTATGCACTCAAGCAAGATCAGAATGCCAAAAATACTAAATTTTAATAAGTCTTATTTTAAATAATGATGCTGGTGAAATTTGTTTTTAAACTTGTTTTAGTTATTTTTATAGAGTTTATAATTATAACTTCTTTAAAAAATAATCCAGTTGTTCATACTCTCATTATAACTCTACACTATAATATACCTCTACTATAAATCTATTATCAGTTGTTGCAGCTTAGTTAAAAATTGGTTTTATCCCAATTCATGTTCATGCAAATTCACCTTATCCCATGTTTAGTTAGTTTCCAAAATACTGTATTCAAAATATTAGGCTTATACAAACCACTGGAAAGAGATTCATTGCAAAGCATATTAGTTGTCTTCTAAACTACTATTCTAATACTGCCCAGAGAGGTGGTGATCATCTTTGAGCAGCATTGCAAATAATCCATCAGTTTTAATATTTTGAAAAATGTTTTGTTCATGATAACTATACTTTGTAAAGTACTTCTTCCAATTGTTTTTCCAAAGTTTACTAACTATTCTTAACTAGTTTTGATTATTGCAAACCTATTTATACCTTTAGCTGGAAATGAAATGCTAGTGGTAATTTAAAGTTTAGTGCCAGTTTGGTGTAGTGGTTAACACTTCAGGCTAAAATTAGTAAACCACAAATTCTAGTCCCGCCTTAGCCACAAAACCAATTGGGTGAACTTGGGCCAATCACTTTCACTCAGCCCTAGGAAAGAAGTATGGCAAACTACTTTTGAAAAATCTTGCCAAGAAAACTGGGACTTGTCCAGGCAGTCTTCAAGAATTGGACATAATTGAATATAAGTAAAAAAGAGTTTATCAACTGAAATATGGAAAACTTTAATAAATCAAAGGTAGAAAGTGTAGAAAAGCATATAATTCAAAAGTATTCATCCAATCATGATTTGCATTGTATTTTAATTAAACCTGAAATGTTTTTTCTATGTACTGTAGTATGGTCAATAGAGGGCAGTGCAACCTGTAATTCATTGATTTTCTTTTGGCCAGAAACCAGAACATCCCAAATATTCAGGTTTTATTTAGGTCCAGTTGTGGCTGATGCAGAATTGTTTGGTAGAACTTCCAGCACATAATTATTTCTTTTTTTTGGGGGGGGGGAGAGGATGCTTTTAATTTTATACACATTTCTATAGAAAAAAATATAAAAATCTAAATTAAAACTAATCATAATTTTTGTAATTGATTATTTAAAAAGGCTGATAGGGTGATGGAAAATTTTTAATGCATTTAAAAATCAGCTAGGAAAATAAAAGTTACCGAGCATGGAAAGATCCAATAACTCAAAAACATACAACAAAATGCTTCCTCGTCAGAACATTTTAAGTACGTGCAACTAACTACTCTGGAAATAATAACATCTTTGATAACCTGCTATTTACAATGTTTAAATGTAATATCAAGACTTTGATTAGTCTGATAGCTAGTGCAAATAACAAAACAATATTGTATCTAGTAATTTCAGGGAACAAACCTGCTGGTCTAGTTTGGAAGTGGCTTAAGCTCCAAGGCAATTCTGTTTATAAAGTACTGAAGTAATTCAAGAGACAATGAAATCACTTTTCATTCATTTAAAAAAATGAGGCAGCTTGTTCTTGGATCAAGAACAGATCTTTAGAGAAAAGTATACGGTAGTCTATTTCAACCTAGGTTTCACTCCATTCAAATGGAGTTTTAATAGCAGTTCTCAGGTTATTAGTCATCATCCAGTACATTATTGTCTCAATCACTGATTCACTATTGACTGGATTAACCAGTTACATTGGTTATTCATTAACTATGAATTGTCAAGAAACCTTAATTTCTTGGTTTACACCAAGTATTATGTGCAAACTAATCATGCCAACCTAAAATTACAGAAACCACATTAGGAACATGAATTTTGCACTCTTACCTATATTTAGGAGTGAGGGAGAGAGAGAGAGATTATGGGCCTATTAGTGATTCATATGCAGGGATGGGCTGCTAGGAGTTTGCAGGGGTTAGGGAGAACCTCTAAGATTCTGTGCAGTTGGGAGAATAATAGCAATAGCAGTAGACTTATATACCGCTTCATAGGCCTTTCAGGCCTCTCTAAGCGGTTTACAGAGAGTCAGCATATTGCCCCCAACAATCTGGGTCCTCAGAAAATTGAGGGGGAGGAAAGAATTCCAAAGGAATATTGGGACCTCAAGGATGTTTTTAGTGAGAAATCTTCTGATAAATTACCCCCTCACAGACCCTGACACATCTATTTTATAGCACAAGAAACTAGG